TTTTGTGGCTATCTTATGACATTCATATATAAATATTCACACATATATATATCATTATTATCCACATGAAAGTTTCCTACATATTTGAATATCTTTTAAAAAGTTTTACCCTAATGAAGTTTATTTTAGGGGTGGCTATATTTTTACATCATGACAAATATGAAACTGAAGAGTGAACATTTAGTAAGATTTTTAAAATATGTAGATATTTAAACATTAGAAGTAGCAGATGTACCACTTTTAATACGTGGTGTATAATATCAAATGAAATTAATTTCTTAGTTTTTGCCTAGTAGTTTTAGCTTTTTATACCCATACATTAGGGGTAAAAATATTATCAGTCGAAATATGCTCTTACTCTATGTTCTAGGAATAACGGTGTCAGTTTCAAGGAAAAACAGGGGGAAGCACTGGGGAGCAGTTTCCTTTTCATTTTGTTCATTGGCAGTTTGACATTTCTATATCAAGAAAGGCCTTTTGTGTTTTAAACCAATGCGAACAATTTATAAAGTTTATTTAGGAAAAAATCTAGAGATGTAAAGAAACACCTGTTATTAAATTACACTTTATCACTGGGCTCACAACTCACCCTCTGTAATTACTTGTGAAAAAGTCTGTGTTCATAGTAGAATAATTTACAACATCTTGTTCAAGTACAACGATACAGCCAACACTAGACACCACAGTGCCACAAAATTGCAGCGACTGCATATTCGGCTTTCAGAAATTATTGTTGGGTGAGGGATCTACTCTTGGTGCAAGTGAGAGGTTCACCTGTTTTGAAACCCCAATAGCCTTGGCTGTTGACTGGGGTCCTGCTCACCCAGCACCCCCTCCCCCAGCAGGCCCTTCTGTGCTGTTCAGGTGTATGGATGCCATAGGTGCATCCCACCCACTGCTTCTTTCAACCTCTTTTGTCTTTCCTTTGAAAACAGCATCAATAGTGCTGAACTTGGTTGGTCAGAATGTTCTGAGTTTGTAAATTTGAGTCCTGTGACATCTTAGTTTTTCTTACTCTTTTGCCATAGTGGGTTCCTGGTTAGAGAGGCAAATCAGCCTGGAAACCTGTGAGAGAGCGGATGGATCAGCACAACCCACCGCTACTCCTTGAGAAGTAACCGGAAGTCCGTGCTGCGCTGGGCATGGCACAGTAGCAGGGGCAAAGGGTAGTGCGAGAAGATAAGAGACAGGCTTCGCAGTCTTGGAGGGGGCACAACTGTGAACAAGGAGGCACCCATACAAGAGTCCACTGTGGCCTGTTCTGCAGAACAGGAAAATAGGTTCGCCAGTGGCATTTTGTATTGTCATAGGCTTACACTCCCGCCCTCCGGTAGCCAGTTGATTGGGATGGTGTATCCTTTGCCATCTTGAAAAAACTGCTACATTTTTAGTATGGTAGATATATTAGTTTAGCAAGAACATCATTCCCTAGTTCCCCTTTGGCTAAACTCTTCTTTGAATCACATTTTTCTGGAGCTGGAAGTGTTCTGCAGAAGAGTGAGTTTGGTTGATAGAACCTTTTCCTCAAATGTTGTCAGTGTCTGAAAGTCACCCAAGGTAGGGAAAATTTACCTTTCAAAGTAGGAAGAGGTTCCCAGGTTCTCAGGTTCACATGTTTCTTTTTAAAATAGCTGGGTTTTCCCTTTTTTTTGCTCGATCCCTCCAAGAACTCATGGCTGTGGACAGCCACAGTGTGACTGCGGGAGGGGGCACCGAGGGGGGTAGAAGGCGGGTAAATGATGATGGAAGAATACAATAAAATGTGAAAAATACAGTAAAATGTAAAAAATAAAATAAAAATACTTGAGCAACTTTCAAAAATAGTTAAGTTTTAAGCTTTTTAGCTATACTTACACATCCTTTATTGTCTAGAAGAACCAGTTGTTTCTTTTAAAAAAATCTCCCCACCTGCTATGCCGCTATGATGCTGTGTCATGTTTCTTTTCTATCATGCCAAAATATACGTAACAAAAGTCACTGTTTTAACCATTTTTAGGGTGTGATGCGGTAGCATTAGTACATCCACAATGCTGTGCCGCCATCACCACTGTCCATTCTGGGACCTTTCTCAACATCCCAAACACAAACCGTGTACCTGTTAAACAATAAGACCCTATTCTCTTTTTCTCCCAGCCCCTAGTAACCACCATTCTATGCATATGCCTATTCTGGGTACCTCATAAAAGTTGAATCATAGGATATCTGTCCTTTCATGACTGGCTTAATGCATTTAGCATGTTTTCAAGGTTCATCCATATTGTAGCATGTGTCAGAATTTCATTCATTTTCGAGGCTGAATAATACTCCATTGCATGCACAGACCACATGTGATTTATGTATTTATCCGTCTGTGGGCACTTGGGTTGCATCCACCTTTTGGCTCTTGTGCGTTATGCTGCTATGAACATCTGTGGATGTGTGTTACACGTGATGCTTAGCGAGTCTGCCACGTCTGTGTGAGCTTTCCCCCCCGTACATGTGTCTTACTGCCCCACCTTAATAAGTTCCACAAGTTGGGGGCAAGCTTCACACTTTCTGGTATTTTTTGCCATCCATGCTGTGTCTTCATTTTCTTGTGCATTACAGGGATACAGATACTTGATACTGATAATAACAGATAATGAAAGTTAAAGTTAAAGAAATGACAGAACTGTTTAGAAGTACATAATATTTAAAACATTAGTTTATGTCCCTATTTGCTCAGCGAGAGTATTTGACTCGTTCTTCTGAGAGGGGGCCAAAAAGCAGCCGTGCGTTCGGCTGGTGCTCAGTTAACGTGCTGTCACCGTCCGCGCGTTTCCAGGTGTCTCTCAGAGGAATGGCCGAGAGGCATGCATGGGGTCAGGGGTCAGGGGTCAGGAAAATGTGGACAGGCCCAGCTGATTAGAATATGATTTTCTATTGTAAAAAAATTCTCCACTGAGGACATGTTTTTATTGATTTTAGAGAGAGAGGAAGGGAGAGAGAGAAACATCAGTGTAAGAGAGAAACAGATTAATTGGTTGCCTCCCGTATCTGACATGATTGGGGATTGAACACACAACCTAGGCACGTGCCCTGACTGGGAATCAACCCCGCAACCTTTTGGTGTATGGGCTGATGCTCCAACTGACTGCGCCACCCAGCCAGGGCTAGAATGTGAATTTATAGAAGTTTTTTGGGGGTGATGTTTTTCTCTTTTGGAGGAAGTACAAGTCCCACATTAACTCAGGAGATGAAAGCTGGGTCTCCAGTCCTAGGAAGTTAGAAGAGAAAATATGTCAGGTTTCCCTTTCAAAGGTGGGTTTTTTCTGCACCCCAGAGTTGTTACAGAAAGCAGAGATGGCTTATCTGTGTGGGCTGCAAACGAACCCCATATAGAAATCTTATATTTCATATAGAAAAGGAAGCAGTTTACTTAAAATGTAAATTTGGGATAAATATGAATTCATATCAGATTTATGACTGAAAATTGCACTGATCTAATTTAAGAATATATTTTTAAGTATTTATGCCTGGCACATAATTTATTGCTTTGTGAAGAACTGAAGAGTTGTTTTTCAGTGATACTTCAGATACAGCCCATATTAGAAGAATGTTCATAAATGGACCTTTGTTAAAGGCTTTTAAAATAAACAACAACAAACAGGAGATGGATTTTAGAAGCTACTTTGATAGAATTTCAGCAACTGGCTATGTGCACTAATCAGGTGCGCGCCCAGAGGCGGTGACAATGAGGCCATTCAGGCGCGGAAGTGGAAAACACAGGCAAACCAATTGTTTACAGCCTGACCGGTGAGTCATTAATAATTTCCACCTTTAGATCAGTTACATTGCTTTGAAGCAGACATGGCCAGTTCATATTTTCAGAAGGATAAAAATCCACTTGTGTATAGCTTATTAATAAAGAATATGTTTCTTTATTATAAAGGTCTGTTAGAATTTCTACGAGGAAACCAGTCTTATCTCTCTCTTCCGCCTGGTTAGCACTGTAATACTAGCCGTCTGGGTAATGTCTTGGGTCAAAATGTAAATTTATAACTAGTTTCTTTCACAGCAAATCTCTGCTTGTTTGGGAAGCTTTTTTCCTCCCCTTTTAAAATAATTCAAGAAGGCTTCTTTACGTTTTTTCCATGAGCCTTACTAATCAGACTAAAACAGTGCAGGAATACCTGTCCTGTTGTCCCGCAGGTCCTGGAGTTATGGACGCATTGTCTCCCAGGTGCGTCCTCCACCTTGTGCAGCCCTCCCAAGTCACTTCCTCCTTCCTTTCCCGCCGCCTGTCCCATCGTCCAGAATGCACAGCTGGTTTGGTTTGCCTTCTATGCAAGTTATAGACAACCCGGTCTGCCAGTCCCTCAGGTGGCTTCTACGAAAGATTTCAGGGTCTGGAGGCTGCCTTCTTTCACTCTGGCAATTATATCAACTGTGTGATTGCACAGTGTCCTGTTGAAACATTAATGCCTGGTTCACAAGACGTTTAGTAAGAAATCTGCATTTGGGGAAATGGACTTAAATATTAAAATTTTCTGTGGTGTGTGGGTACTAGCCAATGACGTCCTTAGATTACACCTGCCACCTCATTTGCAGAAGAGAAGCCAGAAGAAAAGCCCGCGCTCATCTTCCTGATCTTCCTGGGCTGTGTTTATGCCCAGCCCACAGGACGTCCCTGTTTGGGTTGTGCTGCTACACAGCCACGTCTTGCGTGGGTCTGGCTGTCCTGTTTCCCTTCGTGTTTGAGGCAAGCTTCCCCACACACACTATTCTGAGAAGTCACTCTGGTTTCTGGATCTTTATATTTGGGTTTTGTTTTTTGTTTTGGTTTATTTTATTTTTTGCCATTTGCCAACGACATAGTTTGAATTTCTTTCTTCTTTTTTTTTCAAGGCTTGTGGTATGTTGTAACCCACTGGGATGCATTTCCCCTTGCAGAAAGCCTGTGCAGGGCTCGCTCCTGAGCACATCTGTTCCTCTTTATGCACACCAGGAAAGGATTAACACAGCTGTTCCCTGCTTTTCAGATTTGACGGAAGAGCGACTTGGGGACAGCAGCATGGCAGACACCACAGAGACCTTCAGTGACAAAGACACCGAGCAGAGGAGCTCCCCAGATGTTGCAAAAAGTAAGGGCTGCTTCACCCCCGAGAGCCCCGAGATAGTGTCGGTGGATGAAGGTGGGTATGCAGTCCAGAAAAATGGCGGCAACTCCGAGAGCCGCTCCGACAGTCCCAAGTACCAGGGGGAACAGAATCACCTCCTGATTGAGGGCCCCTCGGGGACCGTGTCTCTGCCCTTCAGCTTGAAAGCCAACAGACCCCCACTGGAAGTGTTAAAGAAAATATTCCCCAACCAGAAGCCCACGGTGCTGGAGCTGATCCTGAAGGGCTGTGGGGGGGACCTGGTGAGCGCCGTGGAGGTCCTGCTCTCCAGCCGGTCCTCGGTCTCGGGGGCCGACCGAACTTCAGCAGAGCCCGAGAGCCTTGTGTTACCCTCCAATGGGCACATCTTTGAACACACCTTGAGCTCCTACCCCATCTCCTCCTCCAAATGGTCTGTGGGATCAGCCTTCAGAGTCCCAGACACCTTGAGGTTTTCTGCTGACTCCAGTAACGTTGTCCCTAACCCCTTGGCCGTCCCCCTGCAGCACCCTTTCCCCCAGCCACCCCGGTACCCACTCATGCTGAGGAATACTTTGGCAAGAAACCAGTCGAGCCCCTTTTTGCCCAACGATGTCACTCTGTGGAACACCATGACGCTGCAGCAGCAGTACCAGCTGAGGTCCCAGTACGTCAGCCCGTTCCCCAGTAACTCTACCAGCGTCTTCAGAAGCTCGCCTGTCCTCCCCACTCGCACCCCAGAGGACCCTCGGATCTCCATCCCTGATGATGGCTGTCCGATTGTGTCAAAGCAGTCCATTTACACTGAGGATGACTATGACGAGAGGTCCGACTCCTCGGACTCCAGAATACTCAACACATCATCTTAAAGTGGCACCAGATGGGAGGTGACCAGGTGACATGTTCTGTGCATTTGAAGCCTGGTGGGGGGACCCTCAGGAGAGGCCACATCCTGTGTACACCTTTTCCTTCTGTTTGACAGAGTGACTGTGCTTGATTCTGTACTTAGCAATAAAAACATAACTTATTTAATTTCTTGCACTTCACTGGAAAATGCCAAATAGCTCTGCTCTGTGGCTTTAGTGCTAAATGTTCATTGTAAAAGAAAGTCTGATGCTAAGAATAGTCTTGGGAAAGCTGGGTCCACGGAAGATTTACTTGGGGATGTAATGCTGAAGGTCCGAATGTTCAGTAACATAGTGTCCTTGAATGCAGTTTTGTGAAAGAGGGTTCCTCAGGATATGTGAAACCTAAAGGAAGCGGTTCGAATGCAAATGGACTATAAACAGAGACATTATATTCTTATGCTAAAAATCCTTCTTGCATTTTAAAGAGAGGCTGCACGTGTAAGAATAGAGTGAACTGCTCACATGCTTATTTAAGCCTGGACAGTTTTCAGAGACAAACTCCATTAAGAATTATTCTTTTCACATGGCTGAATCGAAACATGTGTAATGTCAATGTAAAACCAATCACAGCTGTGAACTGCATGAAATGTATTGTGAAATGAACACAAGATTAAGCTTTGTCAGGTTAATGTAGCATGCTTAAGGACTCTAGAAGAAATAAACTAAGGAGATGATTTTGGTTTATGTCATTTCTACTGTGGAAAGAGGACCCCTAAAAATAGAAGCCTGATGCAAACGCTACTTCCTAGTGCACAGATCCCCACTCAAGGTGTCAGCTCAGTGAGACACTCCTTGGGAAACAATGGCAGAGTTTGGGGCTGCAATCAGAAAGAAGTTATTGTTCAAGGATAGAGTTAATTCAGCCCCTCTATCCATTCATTTATTTCTCCAACAGATACTTATTGAGTGCCTACTATGTGTAACAGAATACTCCCTGGACGTGACTGTCCAAGTTACCTGCCCATGAGTCCAAGGTAAGCAGGGACGGTGATGGAGAATCTCTTTAGAAACAAAGTGAGGACAAGACAGGCCGCCGCGTGGGAAGTAAGTGCAGTCCTGGCAGAGAAAACCCTCAGTATGAGAACTATGACTCCTGTTAATTCAGCTTTGCATTTAGGATGCAGAAGTGAATTCCCTCTCATCACTTGGAGAAGATGACCACCACAAAACTCTGAAAACCAGGGCTCTTTTCCCTTAATTTATTATTTTCTGAATACTTAATTAATTAATTTATTTTTAAAGAGAGGGGAAGGCAGGGAGAAAGAGATGGAGAGAAACATTGGTGTAAGAGACAAACGTCGATTAGTTGCATTTTCTACACACCCTGAGCAGGGACGGAACCATAACCCAGGCATGTGCCCTGACCGGGAATCGGACTGGCAACCTTTCACTTTGTGGGAGAACACCCAACCAACTGATTGCCCCTCTCAATTTTTAAAGCATTTTGGGAGTGCTACGTATCAGGCTTCTTGCTCAGATATGTTTAAAAATGAGTTTTGAAACAATGATGCTTAGTGCCCACACCAACCACTTCTTGTACTGTTTTCGTCCTTCACGTGTGCTTGAAAGGAAAGATGACCGCTTAGGTCAGACAAACTTATGAAGGTGGAAAGGAAATAGGTAAACAAATAAAAGCATCTCCATGACAAAGACGTAGAGAGAACTCCTAGGGCAAGGCAAATTCTTGATGGGGTTAGCCTTGGGGAGAGGTGGGCCCGTCCTCTTGGCCTGATAGGCTCCCTCAGCCGGGCCTGAGCCAGAGCTGACTCCCACCCTTGTTTGGGTCCCAGGAGAAAAAGGTATTTTCAACCAAAGGACCATCTCATTTTTATTTCTGCTGGGCACTTTTGGAAGGAGATATGTCTGAGGGGGGAAAATTCATTATTCTTCATTGGACTAATGTGTATTTTTTTTAAAGATTTTAAAAATTTGTCTTTAGAGGGGAAGGGAAGGAGAGAGGGAGAGAAATATCAATGTATAGCTGCCTCTCCTGTGTCCCCTGCTGGGAACTGGCCTGCAAACTAGGCATGTGCCCTGACTGGGAATCGAACCGTGGTTGTTTGGTTCGCAGGCCTGCGCTCAGTCCGCTGAGCTACAGCGGCCAGGGCTAGACTAATTTGTATTTAATTGACATAGTTACATATCAGAGTGTTGAAAAGTAAACATGATTTAGAGTAACACTTAAACATTAGTGTTTGCATAAAGGAAGAAAGTGAGGAAGTGGAGAGGAATACTTTGATCTCGATTCTAAAGACACCAGTTCAAGACCTTTTATGTGGTAGCAATGGGCCAGTATCTGGTCCTACCTAGGACAGATGTGTTTTCAAAAGTGTCTTCATCTCAACAGTTTATCTACATTTATTTAACAAGCAACAATGATAGCAGATCCCACATGAGCTGACAGTGCTGCAGAGTCTTCAGCAATTATCCCTTTAGGCTGAATGGTGTGGATTGAACAAAACTTGGTTAAGATACAGTGCTCTTATGGGTTGAGTTCACCCACAGATCATCAAAGTCGATGACTTTACAGAGTTCAATGAAATGAGGTCATCTGTAAGGCAGCTTACTCATGGGTTGGGGCAGGCGTGTTTAGTCCTCAGTGTAATCTCCTGCAGCAAGAAATGTTCCTGTGGTGGGCCAAGGCTGGTCAGGGGTCAGAAGGGAGAGATTGGGTATTAAAAACAAAAAGCGCACACCTGGCTTTGAGCATTCAGTCTGACTTCCTCTGTCATCCTGATGGCTGAGCCCTGTCTGGCTAACGTGATTTTAGCCCAATTCTCAAAGACCATCCTTCGAAGGCATGTAGAATTCCTGGGACATGAACATTTGTCTGCCCACGGGCACCAGTCACTCTTTCATGTGAAACTGGACATCTGGATGAAAAGAGAAAAAAAATCAACCAACTCCCAGTTAAATCCCATTTGTCACATAGACAAAATATCAGGGTGTTCAGGTGTCCACTTGCAATTGAGTCAAGTGAGCCTTATGGGAAGTTAATTCACACTGAACCACATGTTAATCCACATCAAACCACAGCGCCTCTTTCCCTGTCTAGTGAGGACCTGCGACGATGAGTCAGAGTAAATGCTTTGTTCATGTAATATGTGTGCTGGTGGGTTAGTGCTGTTCCACAGAGGTTTATCTCCAAGTGTGACCCAGGCCCCCCAGTGCTTTACTTCTAGGTTAGATTCCTGGGCCCCGCTTACTGAGTCAGACTCCTTGGTAGCCTAAGCACCTGTATTTTTATCCTCTCCAGGTTAATTCTTGAACTCACTGAGATTTGAGAACCACCTCACTCTGCATCACATCCTTGGGTTTTTTCTAAGATCTAGACCTAATACATGAGCTCAGGGATACAGACTCTTGCTGGAGATTTCTGGTCATCCTTCCACCCCAGCTACTTTCATTGGCAAGAGTACACTTCAGTATGTAACCAGTCTTAGTACAAGCCGTGGACCTCGTTCAAATAACTTTAGTGTCAGTGTTAATGATTAGACTGAGTTCACATTTGGGGTCAGAAATGCGTGTTGGGGAAGCTACTGGTTGGTAAAGGGCCACAGATTAGCATAGGTGTGCTACCCTTTCCCCTAACGGGTGTGCCAATTAAAGCTCCTCACATTGTCGATCTTTCATTATTTGGTGATTCCTATTTTACTAGTGACTCCCGAACATAGATTTTGCCCTGGAGCTTTTAGTTTTAAGAAAAGTCAATAATCTTCCTCCCCCAGCTTTATTGAGATATAATTGATGCATAACAATTTGTAAGTTTAAGGTATGCTGCGTGATGATTTGATGTATCATGAAATGATTACCACAGTAATGTTCATTAACAAACCTGTCACCTCATATAATTACCTTTTCCTTTTGCAGTGAGAACATTTAAGATCTGTTCTCAGCAACTTTCAATTATACAATACAGTGTTGTTAAGTACAGTCACTATGCTGTATATTAGATCCCTGGCACCTGTTTATTTTATAATTGGAAGTTTGGATCCTTTAACCAACATCCCTCCATTTTCCCATCCCTCAGCCCCTGGCCACTGCCATCCTCTCTGTGTCTGTGATTGGCTTATTTAGATTCCATGGATAAGTGGGATCAATCATACAGTAGTTGTCTTTTTGTGACTGGCTTATTTCAACCCAGTAAATAACAGCTCTTTATTCATTCATCCACTGTTGGACACTTAGGTCGTTTCCATATCTTGGCTATTGTGAATAATGCTTCAATGACCATGGGAGTAAAGATACTTCTTTGAGATACTGATTTCACTTTCTTCAGATATATACCCCAAATGGGGATCGCTAGGTCATACTGCAGTTCTATTTTATTTTTTGAGGGGCCTTCATACTGTTTTCTCTAGTGGCTACACCAATTTATAATCCAACCAGTAGTGCACAAGGGTTCCCTTTTCTCTGTATCCTTGCCAACACTTGTCATTTGTGGATTTATTGGTAAAAGCTATTCTGACAGGTGTGGGGTGATACCTTATTGCACAGTGTCACTCCTGATGATGCGAAGAACAAAAGTAGTTTTGCGGATGCGTTGAGAAACAAGGCATTTGTTAGGCAGGTATGTGGCTGTGGTTGAAATGAATAGGAGAGCAACCTGGAGGGACGACAGGTACCATGGAACAGGGGCAGTGATTCTAGCCCTCTGGTCCAGGCTGTTACAGTTAGGTGGCAGGCTTCTAAGTGCCTAACCACATTTACAATGTATTAAATGAAGTCGTGCCATAGGAAGGCATATGCCATGTAGCAGTCACATATGACTGGATTTGCTCATCACGGACTCGTCTTCCATGGTCCCCTGGTGGCACTAGGGCCAGATCAGTGGGAGGTGATGGGAGGGACGGGTGCATCTTGGGAACATTTGTTGTGTGCCCAGCAAACAGGCACTGACTGCTTTTGAACTGACATATTTGAAAAATGAACTTGATTTCACTGCATACTGTTTCAGTGATTCATTCTTTATATGTGCATTTACTCTGCAGAAGTGAGTCGAAAATAAGATGGATGCTAAATTTATATGTTAATTTTAATATTAAAGCTATCCTATATTTGAAGATTAAGATCAATGCTTCAATTTTATTTCTTATGTGGCACTGAATGTTGTCATTACTGGGAAAAAATCATTTCTGAATGCATCCTCCCCAAATTCCAATCTTAGAGGGCAGAGGAGTCTCAGAAGAGGCAATCTTGCCTTTTGCTGATGGTTTGTTCAGTGATACGCTTCAAAGTTCCCATGGTATCATTTACTATTTCAGTGTTAAGGTGAATAGCAAGGGTGGTGTTTTTTCCTTAAATTACAATGGAGTTTATTTACTGATTGGATTTTGAGAGTTTGCTGG